GAAGCAATATTTAAACATATAATGGCTGAGAATTTCTGAAAGATTAAGTATTAAAAAGATTTTTATACTTTTCAATATATTTTAAATTTTTATGTACTTTTTTATACCTTTTGCACAAAAATCCCTAAAATCTAAAATAGTCATAACAGAGCTGCTCAGCACTGCCTCATTTTGCTCTTGGAAGAGACAGAAAATTATACACATATGGTGACACCAATAAAGGAAAAAAAGAGAAAAACACAAGTAGTAAGTACTAGGAATAAAAAGTACTAGGAATAAAAATACAGATCCTGGAGATATTAAAAAGATCATTAGAGGACAGTACGAGCAACATATCCCCCCAAATTGAAAATGAAGTGCAACTGCAACATGTAAGTTTTTAGAAAAATGCAACTTACCAGACTGACATAAAAGGAAAGAGAAAATCTGATGAATTTTGTGTTGTAAGAGATTGAATCTAAAATGAAGCTGTTCAACAAAACAAACCAAACAAAATGGAAATCTCTTGGCCCAGATGCCTTGACTTACTTAATACTCAAGGAAGAAATGACATTAATCTTACATAAACTGACCTAAAGAATGTAAAAAGAAGGGATGCTCTTTTTGTGCGGCTGAATGGGCAGTAAAATCCCACAAGGACAGTGGAAATGCAAATGATAGGCTGTGAAAGTCTTACTCATGGATATACAGGCAAAAAAATTTCCAAAAAATATTTAGAAATAAACTGAACCCAGCAGTATCGAAAAATGATGATATATCATGGGCAAGTTAGGTTTATACCAGAAATGCCAAGTTCAGTTTAACATTGCAGAATTAATCATGTAACTCATCACTTTAACGGATTCAATGAAACTGTGATTACTTTAATAGTTACAAAAAGCTTAAAAAAATTTTTTTTGGAAAACTCCCAGCAAATAAAGAATAGAGGGAAAATTTTCCAACCCTGTAAATCACATCTACAAAAAATACCTCTAGCAAACATCATGCTTACTGGTGGAACACTGAAATTTTTTCCTTTCATAAAAGGAACAGGACAAGAGTCGCTCCCTGTCCCCTTTATTCATCTTGTACTGGTGGTCCTAGGCAAGGTGAAAAGGTAACAAAACAATTGGGATTGAAAGGGAGGAAATAAAATGGTTTTTGTTTGTAGATGCTATTATTTTTATTACCTTACATGTAGATTCTCAAAGAATCTACATGGAAATGATTAGAATTAGTAAGTGTTAACAAGGTTGATGGATATAATGTTATTGTTTTAAAAATTAATTGCAGTTTCAGATATAGGCAGGAATCAATTTGAAAATTAAATAAAAAATAATCCAGTTAGGTAGCATAAAGCATAAAATACAGAGGAACAGACGATCTCAAGAGAGTAAAGAGACTCACAGAATGAGAGGAAATATTTGTAAATCTTGCATCTGATAAGGAAAGCATATCAGGACTATATCAATTCAAAAAATGGGCAGAGGACTTGAATAGATGTTTCCCTAAAAAAAGATATACAAATGGCCAGTAGGCCAATGAAAAGATGCTCAACATCATTAGTCATTAGGGACACGCAAATTAAAGCCACCATGGGATTGTACTTCACACCCATGAGGTTGGGCTATTATCAAAAATGAACAATGAAAAGTTCTGGCAAGGATGTGGAGAAATGTGCATTGCTGGTGGGAATGTAAAATGGCGTGGAAACTGTGGAAAACAGTATGGTGGTGCCAATTCCACACCTAGGTGTGTACTCAGAAGACTGAAAGAGGAACTCAAATAGAGAGCTGTATACCAATGGGCTTAGCAGCTCTATTCACACCAGCCAAATGGCAGAGGCCATCTGAATGTCCATCAACAGATGACGGATGAAACAAGTGTGGTATAAACATATAACAGAACAGTATTGTTAGCCACTATTCATTCTGGAAAGAAAATTTCAGAATAAAATTCTGACACGCACTACATAAATGAACCTGGAAGACATTAGGCTAAGTGAGAGAAGCCAGACAAAAAAAGGCGACTATTGCACGACTCCTTTTACAGGAGGTGCCAAGAACAGGCAAATTCATAGGGACAGAAAGTAGACTAGAGGTTCCTGGAGCCTGAGGGGAGAAGGAAAGGGGAGAGTGTTTAATGGTGTGAAGTAACTGAAGCGAATGCTCCGACACTGATGGGAGGGATGGAGATGGATACATTGGAAAAGAGTTTGGCATTATCTAGCAAAGCGGGGGACACTCACACCCTGTGACTCGGCGATTCCACTCCTAGGAGCACATTCAAGAGCAGAGGTTTCTCAAGTGTGATCCCTGGAGATCCTCAAGCTTCCTTCAGGGCACCTGCATGGCCAGGACTGTTTCCCAAGTTGATAATATAAAGATGTTGTTTGCCCTTTTTCAAAGTGTTGACATTTTCACAAATGGAACAAAGGCAGTGATGAGTGAAACTGCTGGAGTTTCTGCATGAAACAGGGCAGTGCTGTTAATTGCACTAGCATTCTCTACCACCACACACTCATGGTGAAATAATACGAATACTACTACTAATAATAATGCTAGTTTCACTCAAGAATGTCCTTGATGAAGAAGTAAAGATTATTAATTTTATTAAATCTGGCCCCTTGAACAGAGGTCTTTTTAACATGCCGTGTGATGAAATGGGAAAGAGGTGTGAGCACAGCTCTGCTGTTGTGCACCAAGTACCGCGGTTCGCTTGAGCAGAAGCACTGCGTGTGCAATAGCTTGAGTTATGAGTGGAAGTAGGTGGGCTTTTCTTTTTTTCCGTTAATGAAACACCATTTTTACTTGAAAGAATGACTGACAAACCATGATTATTCAAACTGGAACATTTGGTCAATATTTTCTTGAAAACTAATGAAGTAACTCAGTCACTTCAAGGAAAACACTAAACAGTTTTCCTTAGCTGTTGCCAGTGACAAAAGTTTGAGCTTTCAGGCTAAAACTAGAATTTTGGAAAGCTTGTGTTCCCCATTGAGAGTATGTCAACTTCCTAACACTTAGATGCTTTTCCGATAAGTAGTGACATTAGCAAATGTGATTTTTTTGATAATGTATAATGAAATAGGTCAGGACTTGGAGGGTCTATCTGCACAGTTCAGTATGCCAATATTTTCCAAATACCCACCATGGTGTTAAAAACCCATAGATCACAAGATCAACCAGAGGATTTTAAGGTGACAGAGCTCAGAGAGTTCACTGCATAGTTTCAGAGTCCACATTGCAACTAACATTCTAAGAAATGGCCACTCACACAGTTGTGGTGTAGTATCAAAGAATATCCACAATTAGCTGGAAAGGCTATTAAAATACCTCTCTCTCTTCTAACTACAGGTCTATGTGAAACTGGATTCTCTCCTTTAAACAAAACAACAGATCACAACAGAGGGAAGGTTTGCTGTTATTTTGAAATTAATAATTAATTATCACATTAATATAATTCATTGGATTTGCCACTTCTGTGGTATAAATATTCCCCCCATGTTGATTTCAAGCTACAAATAATGACTTTACAGAATGTGGAAGACACCAGCACAATTGGCTTCCATGAGCTGGTAGGACCTAGCTCCAGACCACAAATACAGTTCAAATTTAAAAAGCCGTTCGGACCTTCAAAAATGTTTAAGAGACCGGAAAATCTGAGAACCACTGCCCTAGAGAAATGACTGTATCTGGACACCGGGAGGCTTGGACTGTGTACAGAAAACTCATAGTGACCACAACTACATGCAATGTGAGTGAATCTTAAAAACGTTAGCTATATTGAGAAAAAGAAAACAAGACTCAAATGGAAACATGCTATAGGATTCCATTTCCACAGGATTGCCTGTGGGCTCACAGGCAAAACTAAGCCTTAGCGTTCAGGAATGCATCCATTGGTGAGGCATATAAAGGAAAGCAAGGAAGGAATGGCCGCAGAAGCCAGGTCGTGTGGGAGGAGTCGTGTGGGGCATCTTTGGGGTGCTGGCAATGTTTTTCTTCTTGATTACGTGCTGGTGGTATAGGGTTTTGCTTTACTATAATTCATTTATCTGTATATTTATCTTTAATACAATTTTTCATGTCTGTGTTCAACTTTACAATACAAAGTCTTCAAATGGAATTACATAGAAGATGGGGCTCCTGTGTACTTGATTGGAAGGACATCGTCCCTTCCTGCCTCCAGCCCTGCCCCAGACTGTAGCCCCTGTCAAACAGAGGGTTTGTTGTGCTCTGTGGTGCACGTTCAATGTCCTTTCCCTGCCACATGGTTAGTTTCAATGGAACAAATAATTTCCTAGAGTTCCTCAATTTTTGTTGAAAGCCCATTTGAAAGCACTTTCTCTGCATGGCCTACTTGACATTGAACATCCTCATTTGTGCCAAGGGTTCTGCCTCTTGAACTTAACCTTATGGTATAAACATCTTTCTATGACAAACTTTTATAATAGCTACAGGAAATTTCATTACATGGATGTACCACAATTTATTGAACCAGTGCTCTATTGATAGGTATTTAAGTGGTTCCTGATTTTATTTTGTTTTTGTTTAATGAATAAACAAGATGATGGCCTTTATCCCAATGGACTGAGTTCTGTGGGGATAGGGCCTCAGTCTAGTCACCGGTGCACTGCAGTCCCCACTCAGGCCCCAAGACATAGCAGGTGCTCCATGAAATGACCATGTAATGAATGAATGAAGAGTAACTGAATGGTCCCTGTTGTATCAGTTGGAGCAAAAGATAGAATTCTTCGTGGAAGGCCCTTAGGTAAGGGGCAGGCAGACTGTGAGTGAGCCTAGTGGTCCAGGCCTTAATCTGTGGTTTTAAATCTCAGCCCTACTTAATCTCTCTTTCCTTCCAAATCCTCATCTGTAAAAAGGGCATAATCATGGCACCTGCTTCATAGGGTGGCTGCGAGGATTAAGTGAATGAAAACCTGCAAATATCTCAGCATGGGCCCAGCACATTAGCAACTCATTAAGTAGCAGAAGAATGTGGTGATCTCAACTCACCCTTGTTGTAAAAATGTAGTAAGGATGACGCCTCTCAGGATGTAACAACATGGAAACCAGGTCCTCCTGGGTCTTGCTGTTGTGGCGGCTCTTGTTGGTTTAATTTGCCTTTGTGGGGTCAGCTTTGCTTCTGAAGAATCAGCTGCTCCCATAAGAAGAGTGTTTATGCTCAGAGTCTGTCACCATGGAGACAGTCAACAGTAGGGAATCCAAGATCACATCATCCCTGGAGGCTGGAAGCGAATTCTCTTGGGGCCCTTTTATTCTGTGCAGTTGGCAGGGTATCATCTACTCAGAAGGGTGGCTGGGAAGAAAAAAAGGTACCCCAAACTCAGCAACTTCACATTTTACCACCCTCACAACCTTAAATTGTGTCAAGTCAAAGGAACTTGGGGAAAGTTCCTACCATGCAGTGTTTGACTGATCTGAGTCCACAGCCACTGTCTACTCCAAGTTGGAAGATTGAGACCAAGTATTCAACTAGAGTGCTCACTGGAAATTGGGTGGAAGAGAGGAGGAAGGTAAGAAAAGAGAGAAGGTGGACAGAGGGCTGGGGGATTGGGTACTGGCAGGAAACTACTATTTCCAAATTAAGGGCCTTAAGTAAGTTATATCTTAAGAACATAGCATTAGGGTCTCTGTGCTCTACATAGGGAATTACATTCAGGCAATCATCAAAGTTCCCATTATACCTTGAAAACGTCATAGCAGTGGTGTCAACAGAGTTGTGCCTCAAAGTACCATTTCAGTGCAGTGTTTCTAGGTAACTGATGTTCCCTGTGCCTAATTCCTGTGCACCTGGATTTGGAGAGTCTTCTCTCCCTGGTATGACCCTTTCCAGAATGTGCTGCCTGCAATAATGTCTACAGATGAGCAGCTGCTCTCTGACACCTGTTTCACAACCTTGCCCTTCCTGTGCATTTCAGTTTTTACTTTCAAAACAGACTGAATTGCCTCTTCGTGTTCCCGTGTGCTTTGAAAGCCATCACAAAATATTTTGCCTGAAATTGGCCTACTTGAAATGGAATATCTATACTTGTGGCAATCCAGACTAAGCCACTTACCTGTCTGCATCCAGACATCCTCATGTTTTCTTAGGAAATAGGCAAGGAAAAGAGGGTGCCATAGAATTGAAATCTTTGGTGTAAGTGTGGGGAAGGTTGATAGTAACTTCTGAGAATTGCAAATGGCTGTTTTTATGGAGAACATGAGCATTTACCACCCCTCTGGCTAGATATGGCCTGTGGCCATTGTTAGCTCTGACTGCACTTGGCCTTGTTTTGGAAAGCAAGATGTGTAAGGGGCAGAATGGAAACAAAACAAAACAGGATCCAACTGTATGCCATCTATGAAACTGTCTTTAGATCTAGGGACATGCATAGGATGAAAATGAAAGGATGGAAAAAGATATCTCATGCAAACAGTGACCAAAAGAGAGTAGAGTAGCTATACTAATATCATAAAAAATAGATTTTAAGACAAAAGATGTTGCAAGAGCCAAAGAAGTTCAGTATGTATTGAAGAAAGGGGCATGAAGAAATAGAAAATTTGAATAGACCTATAACTAGCAAGGAGATTGAAACATCAATCAAAAGTTTTCCCAAAATAAAATCCCAGGACTAGATGGTTTCATTTGTGAATTCTACTTAGCATTTAACTACCTTAACATAATGAAGGCCTTACATGAAAAGCCCATAGCTAACATCATACTCAATGATAAAGGACAAAAATCTTTTCCTTTAAGATCAGAAATAAGACAAGGATATCTGCTTTTGCCACTTCTATTTAACGCAGTATTGAAAGTCTTAGCTAAAGCAATTAGGCAAGAAAAAAAATGAGAAGCTTAGAAATTAGAACAAAATGATATCTGTTTGCAGATGACATGATCTTATATGTACCAAACCCTAAAGACTACAGATGCACAGACCAAAAGAAACAAGAAAAAAAAAAAGGCAGGAAAACCTGTTAAAACTATTAAATTCAGCAAAGCAGCAGGATACAAAATCTAAAAAGAAAATTAGGAAAACAATTTTTTTTTCAACAGCATCAAAAATAAAATACTGAGGAATAAATTTAACCAAGGAGGAAAAAGACATACTGAAAACTTTATAACATTGTTAAAGAAATAAAAGAAGACACAAACAAACGTAAAGATACCTTGAGTTCGTTGAGAATTAGGCTTGGGGTTGATTAATGATTGTGCATTGAGTCCCTTATACAGAATTTTATTGTTGTTAACAACCATATGATCAACAAATATGAGAGATGCCCTCTCAAAAAAAAATAAATAAATAAAGTAATTAATTAAAAAAAATAAATAAAAGACACCTTGAGTTCAAGGATGGGAAAACCTAATGTTATTAAAATGTCAATACTACCCAGAACTATGTACAGATTGAATGCAATACCAATGATGCTTTTAGCAGAAATAAAAACATTCACCCTAAAATTCCTTAGGAATCTCCACAGACAGAACAATCTCGAAAAAGAAGAACAAAATTGGATGATTCACATTCTCTGATTTCAAAACTTATTACAAAGCTACAGTAGTCAAAATAGTGGAATACTGGCATAAAAGCAGACAAATAAGCCAATGGAATAGAATAAAGAACCTAGAAATAAACCCTCACATATCTGGTCAAATGATTTCAACAAGGTGCTAAGACCATTCAATGGAGAAAGGACAGCCTTTTCAGCAAATGGTGCTGGGAAAAGTGTATAACCACATGCAAAAGAATGAAGGTAAGCCCTTACCTCACATTCTACATAAAAATTAATTCAAAATGGATCAAACACCTAGATATAAGACCTAAAACTATAAAACTCTTAGAAGAAAACATAGGTGAAAATCTTCATGACATTGCATTTGGCAATTTCTTACATATGACACCAAAAACATAGGCAACAAAGAAAAAAAATGGATAAATGGGACTTTATCAAAATTAAGAACTTTTATGCATCAAAGAACTCTATCAATAGAATGATACGGCAGCTCATGATAATGGGAGAAAATATGTGCACATCCTATATGTGATAAAGGATTAATATCCAGAATATATAAAGCCTGCTACGATCCAAAAACAACAAAAACTCAATTAAAAATGTGAAAAGTACTTGAACATACATTTCTTCAAAGAAGATATACAAATGGTCAAGAAGCACATGAAAAGATGTTCAACATCACTAATTATTAGGGAAACCAAAATCAAAACCATAATGAGATACCCCTAAATACCCATTAGAATGGCTATTATTTAAAAAAATAAATAAATAAAAATAACAAGTGTTGGTGAGGATGTGGAGAAATTGAAACCCTTGTGCATTGCTGGTGGGAACGTAATATGGCATAGCCACTATGGTAGATGGTATGGTAGATCCTCAAAAAATTAAACAGAGAATTGCCATATGGGCGGCAATTCTACTTTTAGGTATATACCGGAAAGAATTGAAAGGGTCTTGTGAAGAGATATTTGTACATTCATGTTCATAGCAGCACTATTGAGAGCAGCCACAAGGTAGAGGTAATTCAATGACAGATGAACAAATAAACAAAATGTGGCATAGCCATATAATAGAACATTATTTAGCCTGTAAATGGAACACGATTCTGACATATGCTACGATGCAGATGAACCATGAAGGTCCTGGGCTAAATGAAGTAAGCCGGTCACCAAAAGACAAGTACTGTATGATTCCACTTCTAGGGGGACCTGGAGTATCAAATTCAGAGACTTCAGAGACGGAAATAGGGTGGGGGTTGCAAGGGGCTGGGGGAGGGGAGGGCAGGGAGCTGTTCACGGGGCGGAGTGTCCATCTGAGACGATTAAACAGTGCTGGAGACTGGATGGTGGGGATGGCTGCAGTGTGGCTGTACTTAATGCCACTGAAGGAACACTCAGAAACGGTTAAAATGGTAAATTTTGCTGTGTATATTTTACCACAATAGATTTTTAAAAAAAATCTACCAGTAAACATAATATAATGGGGTTGGAGGCAGGGAGGGAAGAAAGACTGGAGTTGGAAAGACTAGGCAAACAAAGAAGAAAAAGACAGGGAGGAGGCTAGCAGGGGGCAGGGCAGGGGGAGAGGGTGGGAAAGGGGACACTGCAGACCGTGGGAGCGGTCAGGTGACCCCACAGCCGCTTTCCCGAGGGGTGAATGCCCTGATGCCCAGATCTGCCCTTTCTCTGCCCCACTTCCGGTGGCCCGAGAGGGGAGGGACGAAGCAGAATTGAGAAGGGGCATCACATCACGGAAGTCCCCCTGAATATCTGGTCTTTTCCAGTTCACCAAAGCCACTGAGAAAACACCCCAGTGCATCTACAGAAAAGAGTACGTCCCCTTCCCATGCCACAGACCGGACCAGATTTCCAGGTGGTATGCAGAGAGGAGAGTTGAGGTACGGGCACATGAGGGCCCCACACCCAGGCCTGGGCCCCTCCCAGAGCCCCAGGGACACCATCAGTCAACCTCTCGGCCTCGTTCCTTTGCAGGAACATAGGAGTGGGCTCATCCGCACCCTCGCCAGCCCACACTCTGCCCAGGGCCTTCACCCTTATTTACCCCAGGGGCTGATGATCAGACTAATCTCAAGCTGGTAGCCTTCCCCTGCCTGGTCCCCAGCACTTTCTGGATCATTCCAACAGGGCACAGGCAGGGGATGTGGGAAACACACACACACACACACACACACACACACACACACACACACACACACACGGTAAATGCTGAAGCAAGGTGAATCCGGTGAGGACTCTCACAAGGTGCTCCAAAAGCAAGAATTGGGGATGTCTGGGCCACAGTGCTTGAATCACCTGTGCCCCCATTTCCTGTTCTTTTGCATTAAAAGTCAAGAGCCAATCGGCACGCTCTCACTCACTAGCTGCCTGTGTGTGCCTCGTGTTCCAGGCCTCCAGGGTCACGGCAGCCTCAGGACATGCTCCCCACCCCCTCCCCACCTAACCCTACACCTGCCTAAACTCAGGGTGGGGGCACAGAATGAGGGGTGGACATCTGCCAGACTTGGGGGTATTTGGGAGCTGGAATGGACCCAAATGACTGAGCAGCTCAGAGAAAATGTGCCCACGGGCGATAAGTGTCTTGTCTGAAGCTGTGAAGCTGGTTGGTAAGGGGCTAAGCAGGTGGCTGCTCTGCAGGCCAAGCAAGGAGCATCTTCAGCTTCCTTTTCATCATCTCCTGGAGTTGACTATCTTCAGCATTTGGGGAACCAGGTCAGGATAAACAGTGCCAAATTCTCAGCTCTGAGCTGGCCTGTCTGAACTGTGCCGCCATCTCTGGATTGTGCTGGCATTTCTGGACCATGCTGGCATCCTCGGACCAGGTTGATGCTCTGGGGCTGTTGACCTTTGCCATTAGTGTGCCCTGAAGACACCAGGGCATTTGAATATAAGGAAGTCAAAATTAGAAGCCTCCATGTGGGGCTCCTGTCCCTCAACCATCAGCGTGTATAAGGCACTCAGCCTAGCTCCCCATACATGCTAGTGCCCTTCCTTGAAGATCTTGGACCCATTATAAACCTTGACAAAGGGCATAACCACACATAACACAGTATGCTTAAAATTAAGAAGACCCCCTTCTCCAACCCTCCCAATACAAACGCGAACAGAGCAGAGCAATAGGATATCTCATTTCTAAGGACTCTGCTCAAATCTCCTGCCCTGTGCGGGGAGCCCCGCAGCTTCCACGCGGCTGCTGCCGTGCCACCAGGACTGTGCGTGCTTCATTCTGCCCTTGCCTCCTCGGACAGCTTCCTTTCCAGCTCCTACTTGGCTCTCTCCCCTTCTTAGGCAAATGCTGATCTGTGCGTAGCTGGAGTTGCCATCCCCCATCTCCCAGGAGGACTTCCTTCCCAGGCGTTTCCCCCTAGGCAGGTGTATTAATTGCATTTTTAAACTTTCTTTATTTTAAATGGTTTGACATCTTAGAGGCCTGGCCAATCCTGGAGGGACTACCCTCCCAGGGATAGTGAACAACTTGCCTGCAAGCGTGTCTTTTGGATGCAAACCAACCAACCCAGAATCCATACCTCCAACCACTCCTTTATCTGACGCTCACAGACCAAGCCAATATCTCCCTGCCCTGAATCACTTGAGGGGCAAGTACTGACAACCAGCGACACCCCTGTAGCCCAGAGCCTACTGATATTATCCAAATCATGCGATCTTTTTTTTTTAAAGTTCTAATTTCTCTATTTTCATTTACTTTTTTACTATCAAATGCACATTACAGTGGTTCAGCAGTCCTCCTCCCCCTTTCCCCCACCTCCACTGGCTCCCCTCCCCCGTGGTAACCACTAGTCCCTTCTCAGTGTCAGTGAATTCTAATGCTGTTCTGTTCCTTGTTTTGCTTTGTTTTCATATTCCACAAATAAGTGAAACCATATGGTATTTGTCTTTCTCCACCTGGCTTATTTCACTCTAGCTCCATCCATGCGGTTTCAAACCATGCAATCTTAAACTTCTCAAACTTGCCCACCTGTCCCGCCCAGTACTTCCCTTGGAAACCGCACTAGGGCTCTGGGCCATGCTCTCCGCTGTACCTTCTGTGACTCTGGTGCGTCCCCGTGTGGCCCTGTGTGATGTGGCATGCTTTCTCCTCTTGGGAATTGGAAGAAACTCTTCTTTCAAAGGTGGTTGTCTTTCTGTCTGTCACCTTTCCATACCTGATCAAAACAAAAATGTGGGGCACATAATCCAGACAGCAGAGCCATATCCTAAACCAAGAGAAAACCAAGAGAGACAGCACGAAAATCCGTGTTGGCCTATCTCTTTCCCCTGCCTTGATGCCCCTTAGCACTTCCCTTGGTCGATGGGAACTGCTCCAACTTGCTTTCTGTGGCATTGGAAATAGACCCCAGTCACCTGGTGATGAGGATCTTGGGAATCCCCGCTTAATGTCTGTGTCCATCTCCCTCGTCCTCTCTGGCATTGTGCTCGGACTTATTTATGGAACCAACACTTGAAATATGTGTGCCGCCTGCATTTCCAGACCATGGCAGACACAGACCTCCCTGTCTGCTCAGGACAAGGGGACAGGCATGGAAATCCACATTATCATCCCCTGTAAATCAGCCCAGTCCCCTAGGATTCCCTTCCAGGGCCAAGAAGATTTTCTTAGAAAAAGTACTGATTCAGGCAAACGTCTCATGGTAAGGAGAACATGGCTTTCTTCTCCCTGTAAATAACTCCCTTCACCAAAGAAATCACTCCCTGAGTTCCCAGCTGAGGGAGCCATAAATCCTTTGCAGGAGAAGACAATTTACGGAGCGTTCTCTGACTCTTCCCACAGTAACTGATTGAAATACAAGGTGCATATGTCTGGCTCCACATTTAATGTCTTTCACTTGCCTTGGAAATCCGTGCTTGGACGGATGAGACTTGAGACAAATCAAAAGGTGTGATTTCAGATCACAGGGGCATTGTGGTGAGGTGGCTCTGACTCCCCCTATTCAGCTGGGTGTCCTTTCATTTCAGTCTGTCCCCATAGCTCATTCTAGGGGTGAAATTGACTTGGCCTAGGCTGGGGACCCCTCCCAGAGAGCCCTGACTGCAGCTGTCTTGCCCATGGGTTTCAGCCCCGGACAAGTTCACTATGGACTCAATGAGACCGAAAAAATGGCAATGGAAAGTTCTTGGGCTGAGAGCGTTTATACCCAACTTTATTCCCATGGTGGCAGGTCAGTCACTAGAATCCCGTTCACTCAGAGCAAGTCTGCATGCAGCAAGTTGGTCTCTGCCTCTGGGCTTTTCTGTCCCTGCAGCCGTCTCAGTCTCTGTCCTCAGCACTGCCACCATTCCAGTCTCTGCTCTCCTGCAGCTGTGCAGCAGCCCAGAGCACTGGGCAGAGAGCTCTTCGTATAGAGTCAGTAACAATGTATTGCCCACACGTGTGTAGTGAGCTAGCCAACCAGGGCCAGGTGAGAATCCTGGCCACAGGAACCTTCACTTTACCCACAGCGCTAAGCTGGGATGTGTTTGAGGCGGAGCCGCATCAGAGGTGGAGTTGGGGACAGACCAGCGGGTCCCAAGTTTGGTGACCCCAAAGACTCAGGGAGCCACACTGGCCCCAGCCTGTGGAAGCCACTTCCCCATTAGCACCACAGACCTCCATGGCTGGGAGCTTCTGCCTCCATCCCCGGCCAGGTAGACGCCATGCTCCCATCAGTAACATGCCCACTGTGTCTGTCTGTCCGTCCAGGGGCTCCCGTACAAACATCTGATCACCCACCACCAGGAGCCTGCATACCGCTATCTGATCAGCACGTATGATGACAATTACAACCGGCATGATTATAACCCAGGCCTGCCCCCAAGCCGCACCTGGAGTGGACATAAGCTGCTGTGGCTCCCGGAGAAAGCCGACTTCCCCCTTCCTGGTATTTTTGTAATTCAGGCTTCTCCCCTGCAGAGGGCTGCGGTGTGCCTGACTCATGGGGAAGGACCCACGTGGGGGACCCTGGCTCCAGGACAGCCTTACAAAGAGATGCTACGGTCCTTATTCTAAATAGGACCTGGGGGTGCTATTTAACTCCCAGGGCTGCTGCCTCCCTGTCCCCTTGACACAGGAGGATGCTGTCTGTGTGATGAAGTGCTCGCCTGTGCACCGGGGCAGTACGTGTACCTGGAGCACAGGTGCAGGAGCAGCCTTCCCACGCTCTCCTGTCAGTCACAAACGGGGGCTGATTACTCCCCAGACGCCGAGCCCTGTTGTAGCACCTGCCAACACAAGAGTGACCAGCAGGGAGGAACGCTTGCCCTCAGGGAGTCGACATTTCTCTGGGGAGACAAAGGAGACACCAGTAATGAATAAGATTACTTAAGATCTAGTAAGTAGGATAATTTTGGACTAGGACATTGTCCAGATGGAGAAAAGAAAATAGGTGATGGATAGAAGGTGAGGTGGCTGTTTGTGAACCTCCTTTGGGTGGAAGGATGAAGGATGGGCTTTCTGGGGGAGACAGTGGAGCTGAGAAGGAGGGAGCCACACAGGGATTGGTGGGCAGAGCATTCCAGGGAAGGGCAGAGCAAGTGAAAAGGTCCAAAGCTGGAGCAGAGGAAAACCACAGGGCGGCTCCCAGGCCCTGCAAGGGCTGTGGACTTGGCCCTTCCTGGAGTAACCAGACTGCGGAGGGATTTGCATTTGAAGCCACCGCCAACCCCCCATGCTTTGCCTGCATCTCTTTGTAGATCCATCTTGATGCAAAGGGATGCATTAGTCAAAGAGTGGTGCTCTGTGGGCTGGGACAGTTACGGGGAGGCAACGGGGTCCTCCTCAGCCAGACTCTGGGCTGGCATTCCCAAGCTCTCTCCAGCGGCCCTGGTCCCCCTGAGCACAGAGGAAGCAGGGCCCATGCTGAGGCTCTCGGGGGCTGGCCAAGCCTGTACCTTCCTGCGAGCCTCTCTCTGCCCTCTGTGCCCTGCCAGCCTACAACCCTGAGGTAGCAGCCTGGGAAAACGCATTCCCCCAGCCAGCTGGGCAGCCTCCTCTGGTCACCCAGACCCTGGTTTCTCTTGCAGCTCCCCCGACAAACTACGGACTCTACGAGCTGCTGAAGTGGAGGTGGCTCACCCCTGACGCTGCCCCGAGGGAGAGCGTTTACACCTCATCCTATCCCAGACCGCCGCTGTGTGCCCTGTCCAGGCGGGAGCACGCCATCCCCGTCCCGCCCCCAGGCCTGCACCCTGCCCCACACTTCTGAGAATTGCACCCCCCTGGCAGCGAGGCAGAACCGACTGGCGATCCCCTGCCCTGCTGGGCCTGCCAGACAGCAGGCGGTGCAGCTCCACCCAGAGTTTTAAATCCAGCTCATCTGGGGGCCTTAGAATCATAGTCTGTGTTGGACTGTTCCCCACCTTCCTCCAAACCACCGGCTCCTTTCTCTTCCATCCCACAATTAAAGCTCTTTGGGGACGGTGTGTCATGTATGTACAGAAGGCAGAAAGTCAGAACAAACTGGAAGGACCCTTAAGTTCCACTCCCCTGTTTCTTGGTGGGGTGGGGGTGGCACGGACCCCAGGGAGCAGAGAGAGGGAAGCCCACAGCATCTGCCCCCAACCTCCCAGCCCAAGGATCTTTTACTGTGAGAGAGCCCTGTTGCTGAGACCTCGGAGGCATGTCCTACCACCTGATGGAGAGGCCAGCCTCGGGCTGAGGATGACCTGTCTCCAGTCTGCCTCTCCGGCTGTCAGGATTTGGTGGTGATGGCCAAACTGCCTCATGCCCCCTCCACACTGTTTGTATTCACTGCTTTGGGCACAGTATATAGTTAGTGCTTAATAATCACTGGCTGAATGAATGAATGGATGAATGAACTGTTACCTCTTTTGAGGCTCCTCTCTGGACGTGCACTCATTATGTCCCACTCTGGTTCACTCTGAGACTCCATCCAGCTGCTTGCCCCAGATCCTACCCTGCAGTGGATCCCCATGTCCAGGCCCCATCCCCTCCTGATGCCCGGAGAGCCCTTGTTCTTCCCAGGACTTAGCCAGCTTCTCCCACTCCTGACTCGGAGGGAAGTGAGCCCCTAGATTTCTCTGCCACCTTCAGAGAAGAAGTCACCTCTCTGCTTCCCCATCCTTTAGGACCAGCCCATCCGTCCACACCGGTGGTATCAGTGTGACTCTGTGGTTCTGCCTGCATGTCTCACGTGTTCAGCCACTAAAAACAAACAACCAACAAACAACAGGTGTCTTTTCTGCTGTGTGGAAAAATGAATAGATATAACTATTCTCTCATGAATCTTTTCCTTACATTTTTGGCACCTGCTACCACATTCTAGCAAATCAAGGGGAAAAAAGACACACAAAAAATGGAGCCAGTATTATTGTGGTTGAGCGTGTAGTAAAAGTCAGGATCTGGGCCTGGGTGGGATCATGTCATTGACTTGTCACCACTGCCGTCCATGGGGATTATAAAGGCCATTTCTGTTTTACTGATGGAGGGACAGGCAACAGAGATCAATCGGCTGGGATGAGGTCACACAGGGATCGGGTCCTAGAGCTGGACCTAGACAGGCTGGTCCTAGCATGTGCATGCTTAGCCCTTGTGCAAAGCTGTGCCAGCACAGAAATGCCAGCAGAAACTTTGGGGACCAGCTGGGTGTATCTGGGTCTGCCATGCACTTAGTTCATGGTCACATGTGTGTGACTGGCAGACAAGTAACATGACTCAAAGTGCAGAAAGCTGGAGGGTTTGCCCCCCCTTTCAAGGACTCCTGCTGGCTCCAGACCTCCTACTCTAGGGTTACCGCAGCACCCACTCCAGCCTCCACTCCTTTCTCCAAGAGTCTGTTCAATGATGCTGTCTACTGGAGTCAAAAGTTCCATGAAGTCAGAGCCTGGCACACTTGAGATGCCTAGGAATGTTTGTTGAATGACCGACTGACAGGTGGAAGGAGGTTGTGTTGGGAGAAGAGCTCCAAGTGACCACTGTGGGTTGGCCTTCCTCATACCCCCAGCAGCCATCTGTTCATTCCACACACATCCACTGAGCCGTGATCAAGTCCATGACCACTGACCTCACAGAGCTGCAGGAATGGCATGTGTGTGTGGCTCCAGGTTGGGAAGGAGCTTGGCAGGTCTGTTAAAGGCCCAGAAAGATGGTGTATTAGTTTGCTTTTGCTGCTGAAACAAACACCACCAGTGTAGGGGCTGAAACAACACAAATTCATTCTCTTACAGCTTGGGAGGTGCTCTGGAGGTCCACACTGGGTCCGCAGGGCTCGTTCCTTCCAGAGGCTTTGGGGTGGATTGTTTCCTTGCCGTCTCCAGCTTCTAGGGGACGCCTGCTCTCTTCAACTCACGGCCCCTTCCTCCATCTCCACAGCCAGCATGAGCATCTTCTTTCCTGTCTTCCTTTCTTCAGGAGCCTGGTGATGACATTGTGCCCGTGGGATAATTCAGGACAATTCCCTCTCTCAAAATCCTTAGTCACATCTGCAAAGTTCCTTTTGAATGTACACATATTCACAGATTCTGGGAATGAAGATGTGGACATGTAGGGAGACACTGTTCATGTGAGTGTCGTGCCTGGATACAAGGCAAGAGTTCTCTGCGCCACACATGTTCCATCACTTAACCCCCAATAGGCCAAGTCCTCTCCAGGCAGTCGGGAAGGTGGAGGGGCAATGGTGGGAGGTGTAGGTGGGACTGAACAGAGCCCAAGGCCTCTGGCTCTTGCACTTGGTCAGTGCCTCTTGGTCTCACACATACACACACACAGTTTAAAAAAGCTGCAGACACTACAGTGACCACAAGTACTAGGACCAGACTAGGTGTTCAAAAGTCAGACTAAAACACTGCAACCAGATTAACAAATTGGGCTGCACAACCCAGAGCAGTGGCCCTGGTTGGACCAGGATGGAGGATTTCCCTACCTTTTCCAAAACAGTGGGAAGGAGAGAGGAATTGAGCCAGGGCACCCTTTCCCTGCACTCCTGCTTCCCCTCAGTTCTCAAACTGGAACAGCATCAGCGCTGCCAGGGTGGTGGGGAGTGTTTGTTAAAACACCGGTGTTGGTCCCACCCTCTGAGTTTCTAGATCAGGAGGCCTGGGTGGGGCTGAGAACTCACATGTCTAACATGTTTCAGGTCAAGCTGAGGATGCTGATCCAGGGAACACACTTTGGGAACCATTCCGTAGGCTGAGCGACTCGACTTTCATTTTACTTGTGCAGTTTCTTCAGAATAACAGATTCTGCAGTGAAAACAATGCAGTAAACATCTGGACCTGAGGCTCCCAGGCTTCCTCCAGCAACAGCAGGAGGCCAGGACTCCAGAATGTGATTGTGAAGCCGAAAGTGGGCAGCGCCCTGCCAGGGGCTGGAGCCACAAGCCCAGGCAATACCCAAAAGCACTCAAATAGGCTGGCCTTAAAATTTCAGTGCCACTGTGAACTCGAAGAAGGCACTGCTCCTCTCTGAATCGCTCGATTCCACTACCAGTGGGTACAATGATCTTCTCTAATTCAGATAAAAATCCTGAGCCCAGAGCCTGGTGCATAATAAACCTTCCATAAATAGCAGCAGCTGTTGTTCAACACAGACAACAAGCTGGAAAACAGCCAAGGCCCCGGAGGACAACTTAGACTTGAGAAAGGATCCACTCGTGTGCCAGCCCTTTCCTCTGCCAAGACACGATGCTTTGACTGTGGAGCAGGGCACCTTAGGAGCCAAGCCTGGGAGGCACCCCTAGGGCTCAGCTCACTGGCTGGGAAAAGCCTGCCCTCTGGTGGCCAACTTGACAATTTGCAGGGGGTTATGGTTTCAGGTTCAGGGTTTCTCTGTGATTGACACTAACTCTGAAGAGTAGATGTGAAAATAATCCAAAACCAGATTTTCTGTTTGTTCTTGGAAAACATCTGGTGGCTGATGGTGAACTTAGGGGTACTGACGCCAGAAAAATTCATGCATGAATTTGAAAGCAAACCCTTGTTGGTCTGGAAGCCTTGTGGGGTGCACGCTGAGGTCCCAATTCCAGCCAGTCATTAACTTGTCGAGCACATCACCTCAGCTGAGAAAATGGGATGTCTCTGAGGTCCCTGGAGAGATCGGGGTGGAATTGTGGTTACCCAGTTGTTCCTGGATCTGGCTTTTGAGCTGGGCTGTTTTTTTCCTGGGCTAGAACTCCCACAGCCACTGGCTCAGGAGGAGCTTGGCTGCATGGGGTTTCTGAAACCCAAGTCTCCAACTCCCTCCTCGGATCTTCCTACCCCTTGCCTGCTGCAGGAGCCCTTGCCCCCGAGAGAAGAGTTTCCTTCTCTGTCTGGTGCAAAGCCCCAGCCTCAGGTCAGATTGCCTGGGCATCCTTCTCCATGAGACGCAAATCCTGCTGTTTCCAGAGCTAGTCAGGGGTAAGTGAAGCATGCAGGAGGGAACCAAGTATAACATATAAAGTCCGTGGGAGGCATTTGCAAATAGTATTGAATGAGTGTATATATATATATATGATGTTATATGAATAGAATTAGACTGCATAGTTCTGGACTTCTTTTCCCCACTCAATGATGTAATTATCTGAAACCTAGCAAGACCCAATAGACACCTTACATTTCTTTTTTTTTCATGCCTGCTCCTTTTCCAAACCTCCCAATCTCAGGAAGACAAGACCAAGCTTGAGGAGGTCTTTTGACCCCTCACATCTCCTATTTGCTCAAGAACAAGTCCTGCTGTCCCACCTCCAGGGCGTCCACAAAGTTGTCCCACGGCCACTCAGTGCATTCCGGGATGCCCCACCAGGAGCAGTGCAGGTCTCCCTCCCGGCTTCTCTACTTCCTCCTTAACTCCCCCGTGGAGCATAGTATGACGCAAAGGATGCGGGGTGGGGAAACGACGGGGCTGGAAAGCGCTCATCAGGTCATGCGGCAGCCCTACTTAGGTGGCCAGCCCTGCCCTGGCAGTCACTTCCCGCCTTCCCAGCCTCCTCTGCCTGTGTTCCCAGTTAGGTTAAGGTGAGGCGGGCCCTCTCTCACCTTCCTTCCCTGGGATGCACGGCAGCAGCCAAGTCTGGGCACACAGTGCCCCCTGATGGCCATAGACGCAGATAGGTTGGATAGTGAGACAAGGGCTTGGAGGAAGGCCGGTCCGCCAGGCAGGGGCTCTGCATCTATAAAAGGCCTTGGTAGAGCAAATGGTTAGGGGAGACCATGGGGTTTCCTCTGACAGCGGGACGTCTCAGTGGGGCCCAGCTGGGATGGCACCTGCTCTGCTGGTGTGCAAATGGAACCAGAAGCCCAGAGCAGTTGGCATAAGGGCGGGCCTAAAGCTCGTCTCTGGGGCTCCCGTCAGACCAGGGTCTGCGTCTGGGCAGGAGAGGACACGGGCTTGTGTCTGGGCCAGTTATCAAAGCACTTCCCAGGAACCTGGACCTTGAATCACCTCCTGCCCTCACAGCAGGGACCTGGCAGGGGGGAAATGCTGGAAAGACATGTGATCCAAGCACTACGCCTGGTGCTCTGAGACTCTAACAGGAGCAGGGTCCATGGAGCTCTGGGCACTGAGGGGGCAAACTGGCCATCCCCCCAGCCCACCCCCCATGTCCGAAGAACGGTGCCCCGTGAAAGGCTCCTGCCCGCCTCTGCTCTGCCTGCTTTCTTAATGGATTTGCCCATTTGAGACACTTCACATCAGTGGAATCCTACAGTATGTGACCTTGGCTCAGGCAGTTTTTTAATTGAGGTAAAATTTACATAATATAAAATTTACTATTAACCATTATTAACCATTTTAATGAATGCTACAATAAGTGTGACGTTGGTTTTAATTTTAGAGTCTCTTTCACATCTGGCTTAAGATGAGCTAGGAGCTTTGTAGAGCCCCTTCCACAGGCACCCGTGGCCCTGGGCTGAGGGGCACTGGGACAGAACTGGGACAGCAGAGTCTGAGCCCTGTGGCTGGGGTGATGCTCAGGGGACAT